GCAAAATTATTTAAATGGAAAAAACTTTGACTCTTTGGAGGCCTTAAAAAACGGCGTCTCTTCGTTCTTCGAATCTAAACCGCGCAGTTTTTATGATCGAGGCATCCGTATGCTGCCAGAACGTTGGGAAAAGATTATAGAAAACGATGGAGAATATATCATTGATTGAATAAAGATTTTTGTTTGCCTAATCACTGTGTGACTTTTACTCACAAACTCCGCACGAACTTTTGCACTCACCCAATAATAACAAATTCGTAATCAGCGACCCAAAAAACTCCCATGTACCTATTTCTGTGAAAACAGAAGGATTTTGAACATTTTTGTCTACCATATTGGATCCTCCAGTTTGAATTGTAATTCTGACCCCGGATTCGTAATCGGCGACCTCAAAAACGTAAAATGAACAAGTTTCGTTACGACTGTTTTTATAGATCACCGTTAAAAGAATTTTTACTGAAAAATATATAATTTTATGCAATTTGTTTATTTACAGGAAGTTCAAGTTTAATAAATATTGACATTTTACACTTTTAGCACGTATATCAATACCTAACATATCTTAGAAGTGACAAAAATTCGGACGAAAATGTCAAAAAGATAGCTTAAATAGTTAAAAATGAAGAAAAAGAAGGTGGGATTGTGGGATCTCACTATGCTTCAAATGGTTAAAGAAAGAAAGAGAAATAACGGGAAAGTAAAGAGAAAATAAAGTTTAGGGAACTTCATTATAGCGTGAAACGGGGATCGCACGTTTATCGCAGAATATTGCGGTAGACATGCTGCGGTATCAATCGAATGATCGCTTTGATGTTGCTTAGCCATGAAGAAAGTCAATCTCTAAAAAGAGTGCAAAATTATATCAAATAATAAATACTTAGCAATTCAAATCAATATTCCAACTATGCATGAAAATCCTGCTGGAATAGCATTTCTCCGAGATGGATAAAGCGGCGTCCGTCAAACGTATTTCTAACGAACGCGATAATTAATCAGAACGTAGAAACTCGCGAACAGAAATTAATTACGTGAATTCCAAAATTGTCGAAATGAGATTAGATTGGAACGAATTTCATTCTGTTTTTTTCTGCTCTCGACTCGCTTAATTATTTATGAGTGATTTAGAAGAATGATTAGAGAAAAATTGCCAACAAGCCAATAAAATCATCACCGACCCGACGAATGACTTTTGCAAGCCTTTATATGTGACCAAATTATATTCCGGGATAAATATCGTTTGATTATAATTTCGTCGAAAAGAACGTTTATATGTGGAATAAAGGACATGACAAGAAGTGAGAGAAATTCAACAGGAAATCGAAATCTCTCGACAAAATATTGAGTTTCAAGAAACTTATGAATTTATATCGCTTTCGCGACATGCATTCCTATTAATTTCTCTTAATTTCATCATTCGCTACGAGAGTCCCTCGACGAAGGTATAGAATGAGTACTTCAAACCACACGACGGCGCGCAATGTGGCGAGATGCACTTTCAACAGTTCCATAATTCAACATCTAAATTCACTTTCCCGTTTGCGTGTGACAAACATTTAGCTACTGCCCCATTTGCAGCATTTTACCGCTGGACCAGAATAAAAAAGAATCTTCGTGTTAGACGAGAGAAACTACGAATTGTGCGCATTGAGAGCGGTAAACGTGTCGTTACAAATCTGACCTACGTCTATATTGCGATGTTATTTCAGATTGAGAATTAACTGTCTAGTTTCTACTAAATGCACGTTACTAGTGCAACCTAATACACTCAAAGGTCGTCGTTTTTGCCCGGCTGAAACTGATTTTGCCATGTTGCTAACGTGCAAAAATGTGCAAGTCTTTAATCCAAGCGATCAAATCGCGCGGAGACTGATAGAGATCGATTAAACAAACGCGTGAAGCAATTTATATTCGCGGGATGTATCGCGATTTCCGGCTCGCTAAATTTACATGAAGTGACAATAACGACACCTCGGAAACAACGAAAGTCCATTTAAGAGATCCTGCTTTTTTTGTGCTATTTATATAATCAACGAACATGTTTGACCTCATTGTTAGGCGTGATTTTACGCTAATCGAACGAATGATAAAACGAATTACGCGGCTACAGTTGACTACGTTAATAAAGATACGGGCATGTTCGGGAATTGAAGCGTGCTCAATCTTAGCGAGGATTGCGATTACCCCGTTACGGTTATTCTATTACGATTGCTGATTTGGTTATAAGCCGTGCGCTATCGACACCGAATCTTCCCGTCGCGGTTTGGAGAATCGGCCGTTCCAGGATACAGTTCCTTCGGAGCGGAGAAAACATTTATAATAGGAACGGCTTATTGCGCTCTCGTGGTATTAAAGCAGATATAAAGTATGGCCTCCTCGAAAGTCTGCGCTGATCCCTCAACTGATCCCGGCGAGTGGAATTTCATTCACTATCTCACGGAGTTCCCACTAAAAAAATTAATGACAGGAAGCTTCGACATGTGTATTTACCGGAGAATAAATATTCCTTGTGCTCTTCGTGCTGTTCGTTCTTTCACACATTCTCTCTTGCAAGTGATTAAAACGCGCTTATGCGCATAGCGCATTATGCCGTATTAATTTCCCGCGAACGTTACGCAACTATACCTTAAATTATTCAGATACAAATAATGGAGAAATTACTGAAATTTTTATTATTGCAAACGAAGACAGATTTTCCACGTCTATCGCAGAATATTGCGATAGAAATGCTGCGAAATCAACCGAATGATCGCTTTGACGTTGCTCAGCTATCGAGGAAGTCAATCTCTAAAAATAGTGCAAAGTTATATCTAGCAATAAATATTTAGTAATTCTAATCAATATCCCAAGTATGCATGGAAATCCTGTTGGAATAATATTTCTCCGAGATGGATAAAGCGGCATCCGTCAAGCATATTTCTAACGAATGCGGTAATTAATCAGAGCGTAGAAACTCGCGAGCAGAAATTCATTACGCGAATTCCAAAATTGTCGAAATGAGATTAGATTGTAACGGTACGAATTTCATTCTGTTTTTTCTGCTCTCGACTCGCTTAATTGTTTATGAGTGATTTAGAAGAATGATTAGAGAAAAATTGCCAACAAGCCAATAAAATCATCACCGACCCAACGAATGACTTTTGTCCTTATATGTCCTTATATAAGTCCTTATATGTGACCAAATTATGTTCCGGGATAAATATCGTTTGATTCTAATTTCGTCGAAAAGGACGATTTATATGTGGAATAAAGGAACATGACAAAAAGTGAAAGAAATTCAAAAGGAAACCTCTCGATAAAATATCGAGTTTCAAAAAACTTATGAATTTATATCGCTTTCGTGACATACATTTCTCTCAATTTCTCTTAATTTCATCATTCGCTACGAGAGTCCTTCGACGAAGATACAGAATGAGTACCTCAAAGGACACGACGGTGCGCAATGTAGTAAGATGCGCTGAGTGGAACTTTCAGTTCCACAATTCAACATCTAAATTCACTTTCCCGTTTGCGCTGGACCAGAATAAAAAAGGATCTTCGTGCTAGACGAGAGAAACTATAACATTGAAATCATCGATCCGACGAATGACTTGCAAATCCTTATATGTGACCAAATGCCAATACGCATCACCGGCTGGGCAACCATCCAAAACTGAGACGGAAACTGTCTCGAGCACGTAACCGTTACAATCTCAAGATAGAGGACCGACGGTCAACCAATAACCAAACAATCAATGATCATCAATCACAATTAACGAAAATGCAATCGTTATGTAAAACTCAGCACACCCGAAAAACCGCATCGGACACTTCGCTCATTAAACAAACAACACTAACGCGTTGGCCGTAAGTGCCCGAGTTACGCGATATATTTCACTTTGCGAAAGGAAACTAATCTCGAGGAAATTAATTACATGCGCAGAATAGGACTGACAGTCCTACGTCGGTACAGACCTGATCTTACCTTGGTTTGCGAGTGGGGATGGAGGCAGGTTCAAATCGAAGAGAGCTTCCTTATTGGTTTTGTACGAGTGACGTCTTCGCGCGCGGATCACCACTTGAGTCTCGCGTGTGTTTCGCGCGGTAATTGTACGACGGCGTCCATTCGAGTAATTTCAACTATATAGTGCACAAGAACATATACTCATCAAGAACAACGTCTGGTGGACAGCTAGGTGGCCCCACGTTCCGCTACAAGTCTATCGACGAAAGCTACAGAGTCCGTTTCCTCGGTGCGGACAGAGCGGACGACCGGCGATAAAGTTCTGGATGTGTGGCAACGATCGTGATGCAGGGCGTGTCTTTCTTATCAATCGGTGTTAAACGATTATATAAGTGCGATCGGTTCAGTGGCGACAGCCTGTGCTTCCGTGGCGATCGTCGTGACGAATGTTCGTTCGCAGCCATCGAGCCGAGCGCGGCTTCACGTCAGTTTCGTGCCGTAATCGTGTCCGTACTTTTGCCGCACACCTTTTGTCTGTTAATTCGCGCGAGGATGTCACCTTCGCGATCGCACTGGTATCGCGAGGAATATTTGAGAATTCAGAGCGGAACACCTCCAACGACGGTGAATTTTCACCAAGTCGAACACGCGTCGGGCACTCTCGAGATGCATTCGTTCCGTTTGCGATTGTTCGGCTAATTCGCGCGTTGTCGTTCATCTGTCGCGACACTCCCGGTGAATTTAAATCTTTTTTCTCCTTGCCTTCCTACTTGGCGGCGAGAGGAAGAGATTCAGTCTGGTCAGGCTCGTTGTTTATTGCAACGGGAAAACAGGAAATGTCTCGCGTCTCGACAGAGTGCTTTCTTTCGCATTGCGATAATCGATGGCGGACGTTCAAACCATTGAGGTTAAAATTACGAGAATTTTCACCGGAAAGTCTCGATGCGTCTCGCGACGTTAATGGATCTCATGTGAGCGTGACGATGTGCGCTATGCCGAACGAAAGACGGAGACGGATGAATTTTCTTCTCGACTCGGAAATCGTGTGAGCCGGTGCAAGTTCTAAAAAGAAAAAGAAAAAGTGCCAAGACCACGCTAGCTTCGGCTAGAATATCGGATACGGCGAGAGCTTCGACGCGTCCGTCGAGTTGCAACGTCCGACGCGACATGTCGTTCGAGTTGACGGGCAACTTGACGGGCAAAAAGAACTACCACTGCTCCCGGCCATTATCTCCGAGAAAAGGGATAGTCTCAGTAAAGTATCGCGAGGTCACGGTGTATGGAATACGTAAGTAAAGAAACTTGAACAGCCGAGCGAATTAGCGGCTTCACATTCGCGACCGATTGCAAACGGTATCAATCATCGCGTTAAATCGCTCGACCATAACCGATCGATTCGCTCGTATCGCCGCAGTTCTACTGGTTTGCATTTTCCCGCCGAGAGGTATTTCACCTCACTCGGGGAGGAAAGACAAACGACGAGGAAAATCTAACGGCAATTATGACAAGTACGGCTTGAATCTCTCCACTCTCGTAATCTATGACGTCTCGAGATTTTATGTACCGCCGTCGTCGCGAAAATGACCTGTGATCGCCGAAGAGGCCGGTGTGGATAGACAGCGTAAAACTGCGCGACGGTCGACACATACACTCGAACGCGCACGCCGATGTTATCGTGTCAAATTTGTTTTCTTGATTCCGACTCTCCCCGTCCCCCCCCCCCGCCCTGCGAAATTTAGGCGGCGGTACGCGTCTTTATTTTCTCTCGCTCCGGTTTTTCTCTCCCCTTTTACCTATCACTAATTGTCGCCGGAAAATATTCACCAGGTACCGGTCGATTATTGACTATGCAACAGAGAAGACTAACAAAGTGTTAACGAAGCACGCGGCCGCGCAGCAGCTACTAACCCTCAAGCGGCGCGAACTAAACGCGCGACTCGAAGTGCGCGCGCCGCCGCCACTGAAAAACTAGCGACGATGAACTGACGACTACAATGACAACCCACATAATATTACAGCAATATCACAATAATATTACTTCTCCATTGCAATATTACAACGTAATATAGTAGAAATATTACTACATTATTACAGTGATATCACAGTAATATTAAAATGTTCGCCGAAATATATCACAGTAATATTATGGTGATATACTACAGTAATATTGTGATAATATATCATAGTAATATTGTCGTAGTGATATATCACAATAATATTATTATAATACTGTAAAGTTATAGAATTCTCACGGAAAAAAACACTCAAATTTGAATATATATTTGAGAGTAAATTCGAATAATTGAGTGTAAACACTCAATATTTGAATGTTCCTTTCATAAGAGTTAATTTTATATTAGTTAATCTAATATTAGATTTGAAATGTTATCGTTGAAATGTTATATTTGTTAATTATTTTTCTCCTGAAGATGTAAGCAACTCAGTTTTCTGTGATGTATTCACATCTTTTAGTTTGGACTTTTCTGCTTTTATTTTAAAATTTTACAACTGTTATATCTCGAAAACTAAACATTTTAGAAAAAAATGTTTTAGACAAAGTTTTAAACAAAAGTTATATAATTTCAAGGGGTACATGGAATAACTATATCATTTTGTTTACAGATGATGCCACTTTCGATATTCACTGATTATTATTTTTCTTAAATGGAAATCCCATTTTTTTATTATCTTCTTTTTCTATGAATTAATTTGAACAACTTTTATCTGAAACATTTTTTTATTTGCCTAATATTTTTTTAAATATTTAAGGAAAAGTTGGTAACTTTTCCAATATTTAACTTACGATATCTCGCTAACTATTTCTTGAATGAAAAAATAATGTTAGATGTTTTTATTCTATTTACTCTTTTTGTCTGAAACGTTTCTTAATATCTTTCTTATTTTTCGAGATTTTTGTCTGACTGATTTAAAATGGGATGCCCTATATTATTCCCGAAATATATTATTTATACTCCAATGCGATGTATAACGTTTAAGTTAAAGTAGCAAGTGACATTAAATAACGTTTCTAATGTACATAAGACATAACAAAAACATCATTTGACATGATCTTGCTATTTAAGATGGAATATATATTGCAATCAAGAGGCACGGTAGTGCCTATTATACGCGAAACTGCGAGTTGATACGAGGTGAGATATTCATATCTCAGCAATGGATGAACCGATCGAGATTTTTTTAGTCCCAATCGATTCGGTCTTAAAAAATAGGAAGCAAAATATTCTTGTGATTTTTGTGTACGTTGTCTCTAAGTGGAGGTATTTTAAGTAAAAGTCCGAATCACGGAAAATTTCGATTCAGTAAGAAAGTAAGAAAGTAAGAAACTTCGGACGCATAAGAGTGGGGATATGTGCATCTCGCTTTTCCGACACCAGGGATGCTACGAGAGCGCTGAACAAGCAGACAGCAGCGAATGCGAGCGTGTAAGCGAGGGATATGCTATAGAATACAATATAGGACAAAATGTGCGAAAGAGAAAGTGAGAGAGAGGATTGAGAGAGAGGAGTGAGAGCGAGAGAGAGAGAGAGAGAGGAATGAGAGAGAGAAAATGTGAGAGAGAGGAGAGAGAGGGTGAGAGAGAGGAGGAGAGAGAGAGGAGAGAGAGGGGGAGAGATAGAGGGAGAGAGAATGAGGAAGAGTGTGAAGGAATGAGAGAGTGAGAGAGTGAGGGAGTGGGAGAATGAGAGAGTGAGAAAGTGTAAGATATACGTACACATATGTACACACATACGTATATATTGATATACAGATACAGTATAGATACATATGTACTACATACATACCTATATTGGTATATACATATGTACATACGTACATACATATGTACACATGTATATACATACATACATACGTACATACAAATGTTCATACATACGTAAATACTTACGTACATACGTACATACGTACGTTCAGATGTACGTAAATACTTACGTATATACGTACATACATATGTACATATATATACGTACATACGTACATAAGCATTTTTTAGGTATTGTCTGCGTCTACGTCTACGTGTACAACAATATTTGCGAATCGCTTAGCTTTTCCCAACATTTGTGCCCCTTGGTATATATGTTTACATATTCGTAATAATATACATATACACGTATATTATTATGAGAAAAGAGTGAGAGAGGAATGAGAGTGAGAGAGAGAGAGAGAGAGAGAGAGAGAGAGAGAGAACGGGAAAAAGAGAGAGAGAGAGACCATAATAAATCAATATTTATGACTTACAAGAATCGAAACTGAAAAAAGAAATGTCAAAATAGATAGTGCCCTACTGCAATTATTAACACATAATATTCATATCGTTAGATATCATTTATTGCACACGACAAAGAGAGAGGAGAGAGAGAGAGAGAGAGAGAGAGAGAGAACAGGAAAAAGAGAGAGAGAGAGAGTGTGTGTGTGTATGCATGTGTGTGTGTGTATACGAGGGTGGTCCGATAAGTACTTAGCCTACAAAAGAAAAACGAAAAGTTTTGGAAAAGTGGCGATTTATTTCTCAACATAGTCTCCTTTTAGCTCGATACACTTGACCCAGCGATGCTCCAACTTCTTTAACCCGTCTGAAAAATACGTTTTCTCGAGGTCTGCAAAGTAGGCCTCCGTGGCGGCGATGACCTCCTCATTCGACTCAAATTTCTGCCCGGCGAGTGACTTTTTCAAGTTTGGAAACAAAAAGAAGTCGCACGGGGCCAAATCTGGAGAATACGGTGGATGGGGCAGCAGTTCGTAGCCCAATTCGACCAATTTGACCGTGGCGAGGGCGGAGGTGTGAGCCGGTGCGTTGTCATGGTGGAAGAGCACTTTTTTCTTCGCCAAATGGGGCCGTTTTTTCTGCAATTCGGCGTCGAATCGGCCCAATAATTCGGCATAGTACAGCTCTGTGACCGTTTTGCCCTTCTCCAGGTAGTCGATGTAGATCACACCTTGTGAATCCCAGAAAACGGTGGCCATCACCTTTCCGTTCCGGCCGATAGAACAGTCTTCGCCTTCTTCGGAGCACGTTCGCCGAGTGAAGTCCACTGTTTCGACTGTTCCTTGGTCTCTGGTGTATACCAGTGGATCCATGTTTCGTCGACGGTCACGAAACGACGCAGAAACTCCTTCGGATTGCGCTTAAACAGCGTCAAACACTGCTCTGAAGTGGTTTCACGGTTGCGCTTGTTGTCCGGAGTGAGCAAACGCGGCACCCATCGCGCCGACAGCTTTCTCATGCCTAAAATTTCATGCAGGATATGACCCACGCGGTCTTTTGAGATGCCTACTGTCTCAGCTATCTTGCGCACCTTCAATCGGCGGTCTGCCAATACGAGATCGTGGATTTTTGTCATGTTATCCTCCGTGATAGCCATTTTCGGGGCACCTGGGCGTGGCTCATCAAAAACCGACGTGCGACCACGTTGAAACTCGTTAAATCAATTTTTGACGGTCGCCATCGAAGGAGAAGAGTCACCGTACACAGCATCCAAGCGCTCTTTGTTTTCGCTGCGCGATTTCCCTTCCAAAAACAAGAATCGAATCACCGACCGATTGCTCTTTTTCCATTTTTCTAAAATCCGCGGACACGCCCGCTTCCACACGCGGTCAAAACAAAACTACAATTCCGATTCGGCTGAAATTTCGACAGCAGCCGTCTACGAGAATGTACTACACGATAGTAAATTTCTCTTGCGATAGTGGCGCCATCGGGCGGTAAGGCTAAGTACTTATCGGATCGCCCTCGTATATATATATATACACTTTATTATTTCATTGTATATGTTATATGTATATGTATTGTACATACCCTGTCATTTAACTCTTTCATAAAACATGTTATGTATGTATAAAATATTATTTACTATAGTTATATGAGAATCGTTTGAAATTATATCTTATTTGTACAACATATGTACATACATACATATATATTAGGTGTAGTAAAAAGAAATCCATTATTTTTCCAATAGATGGCTTTAGTTATCTGTATCTCGCGTTGTATAAGTCCGATCGTGTTCCACTAGATGGCGTTAGGAAGATGAGATTTCGTACTAAAAAAACTTTTCTGACAGTTTTGTGATTAGTTGACTCAGTTTTGTTTGAGCGCGCGTCGAAGCTGGACACTAGCAAAGAGAAAATACGCTATATTTTACAGTTTTTCTTCGATAAAGGCGAAAACGCAAGCCAGGCGGCTGAAAATGCGAATAGTGTTTTATGGTCCTGATACTGTAACAGCCAATCACACGCAATTTTGGTTTCGTCGATTCCGTTCCGGTAATT